TATTTAATTTAGTACAAACGTGTACTTCTAGTCCGTGAACCAGCATGATCGGACTATGTGAACGTGGTTGTATTGGGTTTATTTTTAGAAATGTTTGTTAATGAATTCATGTCAAATAAATTGAACACCACAGTTTAACCAAGATAAATTGAAATAACTAGAAATCCGCTGCATTTGACATTCCCCTGTGTTATGTGAGGCAAATTTAGTTTCGGTTATGGTTTATCACACAGACTAATTTATTAGTTTGAGTCATGGGTAATTATGTACTATTAGGTACTAGTTTTGACTTTTGGAACTGATTTGACCTAGATTTTATGCAAACTTTGTTATTTGTATCATAAAAAGGCTACCATAATTAAATCTTCCACAATTTAATATTCTACAAAACAAAATATCTGAGTTCTCAAATGATCAACTAAGACAAAAATATGAATATTTATTTTATTCAGGGTATCAAATAAATTCCAGTTCCATTTCAACCCATGTGTGAAATTCCATATACCACAAATCGGTTTTTACAATATGTACACAATACTCATAGGTTTGGATTACATTACCAAGCGTATATTTCATCACTAGGGCCTAAAGTGACTCTATTTTACCCGAGGCCAAGTTTTACGATCGAGGCGAATCCGAGGTTGAAATTAAAGCGAGGGTTAAGACACTTTTAACCTAATGGTGAACTATATTTTTCGTCATATTGCACCATTAATTAACAAACAAAGCTAGAAAACGAAATAACTTTTATGTAAAGATAACCTCTCAAAATGACTTCCAGGTTGTTTTAAATTCTACTAATGCAAATAAACAACTGTTTAGTAAGTTCAATAATTTCGTCTCTTACGATAGTGTTATCGTACACTATGCCATCGATATGTCGAGCGATCGACAACAATAGGCTAACTCCTTGCCTAATAATTCAATCGATAAATAATTTCGATCGATACGATTGCCACAATCTTAATTTACAACTGTTTACAACAGCTAATTATTACTCCCTATGCCTAAAAATGGTTTTTACTCCCAAGAGAGTAAACAATGCTAATTTAGACCCGCAACGCATGCATAAATAACTGCTGTTTTTCCTTCAGCATGACAAAAAAAAATGTTTTTTATTCCTTCTCTCAATATGCTACTTACAAAATCTTCTAAACGTGTAAACATCAAAGACTGGTTTACAGACACAATACCTTTATGTTGGATCTCACACAGAATCACTAACATTGTTTGTATTTGACTACTTGTGTAGAATATCTGATATGTGTGACGACGCGGTGTCTGTGGTTTCTTTGTTCCTCAGTTTTCTAAATCCCTAGTAAAAACCGCGTCTTTTCTTCCTTAAGAAGGTGAGAACATGGATTTTTATGTTAAATTAACCTTTGAATAATAGTAAAGTATACATTTAAAATGTTGGGTTGACAAAAAAAATTGTGGCATTAACTAATCCCACATAGTGGATTTAAATAATGTTATTGTATAAGTTTGTTTTGAAATGTTCTTATAATGTGCGTTTTGTAACAAATGGAAAGGTTTTCCTTGTTTTCAAGGAATGATTTTGTCATATTTTAAACAGGACAATTTATGTAAATTACCAAAAATAAAATTTATTTATTTATTTCCTCAGAAAGGCATTTTACGTAAAATATGTTTTACGATGATTAAAAAACAAGTTATATTGACAAAAATATTTTTTAAACTTAACTATTATTTTCAAACATTTTTTTCCGCATTAGATACATTGAATGTAGAAGAGAGGTAGAAAATACTTCTCAGTATCATTTCTGTATCATGTCTGGAACTCCACCCTTGAGGCTATTTGTAAGCGTTGCTTGAAAATGTATTCGTACTGAAGCACCTTCTTTGATACTTGTTTTTATTAAATCAACAATATTTTAGAGCTAGTCTGTTTCCTACTTTTAAAAACATCTATAAGTATATGCTTATGTATGAAATACAGAATAGAGTTAGACAGCATTTTGATTGTTTCAATCTATAAGTATAAAAGAGGATGTTTGTATATATATTTGTTTGTTTGTTTGTTTGTTTGTTTGGCAGTGATAAACTCGGACACCGCTGAACCGATTGCCACGAAACTTGGTACATACGTGTAGAATGTCATGGAATAGGTTTATACACCATCAATTTCGTGATCCGTCCAATCGGCTCCGCCCCAGTGGCTCTGGAGTTTCCCATGTTAACCTTATGAGAAATGGAATTATTGAATCTTAACAGCTGTTTCAATTAAACAAGTTGGTTCTGTTCTATGATGTTCAATAGCATTAAAGTTACAAGGATTACCAACAGGGTGCAGCACTATTATTTCTTTTACATTTATGACAACAGCTAATTTTCAACCAAAAGGTGAGTGAGCGTAGCGAACGAACTTCAAACTGGAGGCGAGTTAGCGTAGCGAACGAGCTAACCTGAAGGCAAGTGAGTGCAGCGAACGAGCTCCAACCTAAAGGTGAGTGAGCGTAGCGAACGAACTTCAACCAGGACGTGATTGAGCCATGCGAACGAGATCATCTCGAAAATTAAGAAGTTAAACGGGGCAAAGCCCGCGGGATTATAAATAGTCAAAGGCAAGACAACGTCTGCCGGGTTCAGCTAGTGATCTTATAAAATAATAACTATAACCGAACCGTACTAAAATACCCTTTAATTTATTGAACTAATTTGATAATAGAATATATTTCTGTAATACTTCTCTAAATGTGAACAATTTAACTCCAGTTCCTTTACCCTGCAGCAAATATTGTCTAAATTGATTAATTATGAATTCAACTCACAGAAGGAGAAGTATCAAGAATGTACTTTACTTAGGTTTGACAAGAAGTGATTGTCTAGGAATGGGATGAATATTAAATAGCTTACTTTGTCCTGCTTTGCTGGCATTCTAAAATCAACAGCTGTTATTAACAGGTTTGCTTAGTTTTAGCGATTTCCTTATATGAAAATTAACGTAAGTTACACAGTAAGACCTAGAATCGAAATTTTTTTTGTTTTTTTTATGTCCCTAGAGGCCAAAACACCATCCGTTTTCTTTTACACGTAATAATTAAGATTTTTCGATGCAGTTATGTACTGTAACTGTAACATTATTGTAACATGTTGAAATATGTTAAGATGCTCTGTTTTATACTGCTACTCTAAGATGACGTTTTTGTAACTTCATTCAATGAATGAAAAATCTTTCAAAACCGGGTGAAAATCACTACTTTAAGTGCCGTACCGTGGATAACACTTTGATTCAATTGGTTCGACATGGGTAGTATCTTATTCATCATCTTTATAATTCGTATTACATTAATTGGTAATCCTGATTCTAACACCGGGGTTTGAAGGATTTGTTTCTTATGTTTGGTTTTTGGTAATATTGGGGGGTAGGGTCATAAAATAGATCAACGTCAATACGGTGATTGGCAAAAGAACAACCCTGTACTTCATTGATTTTTATAAAAAATCACGTTTTATATACTTTTACATTTTGATGCAACAATAATGTACCATACGAATTTGAACATTGCGTATGAACTTCAATTGACAGTAAAAACCAACAATAGCATTGAATAAAAATGTTAAACCTTTCGACTTATACTACAATATTGTCAGCTGTTTCTTTGTGGAAATGGAAAGAAGCACTTAAGCTGAGCTTTCCGTGAATTTAGACCGTTTTAGCTCGAGCTCTGATGAGTGTTTATTTGTTTTACGTGTTAATTCATAAAAAATAAAAATCGGATCTTGCCCTAAAGGAACCGTATTTTATTTGTGTGCTGTGTTTAAAAGAAGGACTGAAATAGAAGATTGCACTACCTCAGCCACACCTGTAGGCTGGATTTGGTTGGTTTAGCTTACCTGAGACAAAGAATCTAGTGTGGTATATACTCCATCACTCTCTGAAATGTTGTCTTTTGGAAACCGACACCTAGTCTCGAAACAAACATTTTGTCACATTCATTTTACATTATTTATCTCTTAGCCTAAAAATATTTAAATTTAAATCCAAACGAATTGAAAAAATCTGCTTATGTTTGTATACTTCTCTGACTGACGTTATGTTTTTCCTCTTTGGCCAACAAAAACATAAATACTGTCTAACCATTAGCTTAATGTAATATTTATCTTATTGTCTGTTAGTTTCGCAATTCTATGAAAAAACGTGTTTAATTGACAAACCTAGATAATAATTATTGACCTGTGCAAAACATGTGTGTTTTATAAACACAGCTTCTATTGCAATGCTATAAAAATATAAATTTTTTCTGATTTAATGTATGCAAGACAGCCTCTACCAAAAATAATAAACAACTAATCTCAAGCACAACTTATGTTTTCTATTGTTTTATGTAAGAAAAATTGATGTTTTACAAAGAACCACAGTATATTTCGGTCGAAACTAATGCTAAAATATAAACTATCCGTGCCGTACAAAAAATAAGGGCTAGTACTATTCCATAAAATAACACAAAGGTCTAGGTTTATTTCATTAAATTTCCTTTTATTTCTGATCTATTCTTCTTTGGATCTGAGTTTTTTAGGATATGTTTTTGGGACAAGGTTGACCGGAGCAATGGGCACAGTCCCTCTTACTTAAGTTCTGTGCAGGTATATTCCACAAGAACTTTGGACAGCCACCATTTTGTAACGGATGAACCTTTTGAGACGCGGCAATGAACTCCATTTGACCAGCCCTTTAAAATGATGTGCACATGCTTACATTAAAGATTATGTACCTACTCCTCATGGGCCGTCACCTGGTGAAGGTCAAAAAATGGTAATGCTTGAAAAAATTAGTTTTAATACATATAAAATGAGGTGAAAGGTTTCAATTTTATAACGGGTTTTGTTTAAAAGATATTAAGCCGTTTCCAGAATTTTTTGTCACCCTGTACATATATTGTAAACTCTGTTCGGAATTCCACCCCGCGTGCACTGCTTTAGGCTCTCAAAATCATACTAAAACTAAGCTTAAGTCATATAAGTGTGAAAACTGTGTGATGGAGAGCGAATCTTCTAACTCTCAGCGAAGTAACGAGTCTTCTGCCGCCGTCGACAAGAGAACCTTGGTTGAGGCCCTGAACAGTTTCAAGATGGATTTGGAAAACCACACGGACGCCGCAGTTGGTAATGTAATATCACGTCTAGATTCCTTAAAAGAAGATATGGAAAAACTAAATAGCAAATTTAACACCTTAGATCAAAGCCAGCAGTCGTTGAACGTGCGCTGTGATGAGTTAGAACAAGTCAATGCTGCACTAGATAAAGAAGTCCGGTCCCTACAGTTTCGCCTCAATGACGCTGAACAACACTCTCGCTGCGCGAATATTGAGATTGTAGGCATACCAGAGACATCCGGTGAGAACATCTATGATGTCCTTCAGAGACTTGCCACTGTTTTGGATCTGACCTATAGAAGAGAGGACTTGTCGATCGCTCACCGCCTTCGACTATACTCCAAGAAACAAGCGCACCCTCCTATTATTGCGCAATTCATCTCAAGAACTGTGAAGAATCAATGGTTAACAGCTGCGAGGAAGAAGAGGAATCTGAAGTCGACCGACTTGTCACCCAACCTACACCCGAGCGAGGTTTATCTCAACGACCACCTGACAGCCTCCAACAAACAACTCCTAGGACGTGCGAGGGGGATGCAGCGCGACGGCCTCATCCACTTCGCTGGGTACTTCAACGGCAAGATCATGGTTAAGCCAAGAGAGAGTGATGATGCGATTAGGATCTGTCATCAGGAGGAGTTGGACAAATATCAACCTCAATCTAACTAGGAACACACTTCATGTATGTAGGTCTTCTATATTATTTTAGCACAGTATTTACAATAAGTTTTTGTTTAATTTAAACAACATTCATGAGGAATTCAATTTTAATTTCTTAATCGATAAAAATATGTATTATTATTCTTTGTTTTGTTTTCATTTTGTCTAACTCATCTTGGTACATAAAGATTTTCTGATTCTGATAAATGAGTGATTTCTTAATTATAATTAAATTGTTCATCTCTTTTTTAAGTAAAGATGTTTTTACAAAGCAGTTAATTGATATTGTGATATGTTTAGTTAAGATATTCGTAATTGAGATGCTAACTCTCTTATACTTTTACAAATTCATTTCAATCATTCATTTAAAACATTACGTAACTAATCTCATACAATTAAAATCAAAACTTTTTTTTATTTCACCATCTTAGTATTAATAAATAAAAAGCGAATTGCTGATCATTTTGGTTTTGTTAAGGGGAGGATAGCTTAATTATTTACATTCATAAGGTTGTAGTATAATTTAATTATAATCTTAGATCGATCATTGTCAGATAATCCAATCATTTTACCCAGTTAAAATGTTCTCACGCTAAAAGCTTTAATCTCTTTTGGTTAATATAACCCTAAAATAAGGTAACTGCCAATTGCTTATAACATTATTATATATTATGAAATCAAGTTACACCTTATATCATTCATTATAATTCATTCCAATCTCCTTATCAATACTGGAGTTTAGTTTTTAATGTGATTTAATTGTTTACGTTTGATACAAAATTTTAAAATTGATTATATGAGTTTACATTATTTTTCTTATTATTACGGCACAATAGGTTAATAGTTTAATAATACACATTTGCAGACAGGAGACAGAGGCAATGACCTATGCTGTGTGACACTGCTCATGATAATTTAGATAAACCATTTGACTGCTTAGAGTTAAGTTCCATTTCAGAATATTCTAGTTTTTATGATCACGGTGCTGGGGCGGATAGTTTATGTATTTTTCAAACCAATATTAGAAGTTTCAATAAAAACTCAGATGAGTTGCTAGTTTATTTAAATGATTTTATTGCTTCTCTAGATGTCATAGTGTTGACAGAGTGTTGGCTGGGGGAGGGAGGGGAGGGAACCGGTTTGGACGGATTTGACATGCACCAGACTGATACACACAAAAACAAAAATGACGGAGTCATTGTTTACACTAACAAAAGACTTTCTGCTACTGCAACACAGGTTACTTTGGGAGATGTTTACGGGTTGAGTATAGCTTTTTCGTTTGATAAAAAACAAATGTTAATACTTGCAGTTTACCGTACCTTTGATAGTAACCCAGATTGTTTTGTGAATGAAATTGAAAAACATTTTAATAGAATCAATAAAAATGTAAACTGCATTTTTATGGGAGACATTAATTTTGACTTGATTAGAAGAGATTGTATAACTGAAAAATATTTGGATTGTCTATTAGGAGGTGGGTTTGTACAATGTATTGATAAACCTACAAGAGTGTCTGGGGTATCGGAGAGCTGTTTGGATCACATTTTTGTGAAATATAATGACGAATGCAATATCAAATCAGCTGTAATTCAAACGACCATCACCGATCACTACAGTACTGGCCTTACTATCACTAAACCCACTACAACACAACCTGCTTACTCGTCACAAGACACTATACCACACACGTACATAGACCATGCGTTACTATCATACCTACTGACACATTCTAACTGGGCCCCTGTTTTAAACTCAAATGACATTAATTTTTGTTCTAGCCATTTTAGTAATATAATTGTTAATTGTATAAATTCTTCAAAGAAATTAGTTGGTAACAAATCAACAAGGCTCAATAAACTCAAACCATGGATAACCGTTGACTTAATCAGACAGATCAGATTTAGAGATAAAATCAGCAAAAGAGTAAAAAGGCAACCCTTTAATTTAGAATTGAAACATTTTTACCATAATTTAAAGAGAAATGTTAATACTAACTTAAAGCAAACAAAACGGAATTATTACCGATCAAAACTTAATGAAGCATCTAAGAATCCCAAGAAGCTATGGGGATTAATCAATGAACTGGCTGGCAGGGTGAATAAAAAAGAACCGTTTCCTATTGAAAAATTTGTTTCTAGCTCACAATCTCCGATTTCTTCATCATACAAACGAGTAGCAGATGAGTTCAATGAATTCTTTTCTGGAGTAGGTAAATCACTCGCTGACGCAATTGATTATAGTGGGGACCCAGTTTTGAATGACTCTGACTACCGCCTTGATTGCGACTTTACGATTCAACCAATCACTGAACTAGATCTCCGACGCTATGTCTTCAGTTTAAGGGGAGGGTCTGCTCCGGGCTATGATGGTGTATCGGCCGACGTCATAAAAAATAATTTTAATATTTTGGGGGAGCCACTTTTACATATAGTCAACTTGAGTATCACCACAGGATCATTCCCAGAATGTCTTAAATTAGCCAAAGTATTTCCTCTATACAAATCAAATGACATCACAAATAAAACTAATTACCGACCAATCTCTTTGCTTAGTGTTTTTACTAAGGTGATTGAAAGAGTGGTGAAAGATCAATTAGTTACATACTTACAAATCAATAACATACTCAGTGAGCGTCAGTACGGGTTTCGTCAGGACAAAAATATTTCAGATGCGTTGTTCGATATTAATAAAGAGTTAAATTCTGCGATTTCAGAAAAAAATCATCCATTATTAATTTTTCTTGATTTAAAAAAAGCATTTGATTCTGTTGACCGTTCAAAATTATTGAGAAAAATGGAAGACATTGGTATTCACGGCAACTCACTTGCATGGTTCCAAAGCTACCTTTGTAACAGATCACAACTTGTTTCCATTAATGACATTACTAGTAATGTATTGCCAGTAGACTATGGTGTGGTCCAAGGCAGCAACCTTGGTCCAGTTTTATTCTTAATTTATATAAATAATATTTCCAGACTAAACATTTTTGGTCAAATCTTTTTATTTGCCGATGACAGCCTAATTTTCCTGCAAGGAAAAACCTGGCCCGAGGTGTATGACAAAGCCACACACGATCTCATGATAATTAAGAAGTGGTTAAATCAAAATGTTCTTTCATTAAATGTTTCTAAGACAAAATTCATGCCTATTTCTATTAGCAAGAGTACAGACTTCAATTTAGCCAATTTAACAATCCACGAATGTGACAATTATCAAAGTAATTCTTGCAGATGTGAAAGTATAGAAAAGGTCAACTCTTATAAATACCTAGGTGTATTGTTTGATGAACGATTAAAATGGATAGATCATGTTAATTATGTTAGAAATAAAATTAGGAAATTAATTTTTGCTTTCAAACACATGAGAGAAGTTTTGACGGTTAAGGAATTAAAAATGGCTTACTTTGCTTTTGTTCAATCATTACTTTCGTTTGGTATTATAGCTTGGGGTGGCTGTTATAGGAGTACCTTGGAGCCATTAAATATTGCTCAAAAATCAATTTTAAAAATAGGTTTTGGGAAATGCAAACGTTACCCGACTGACGCTTTATTTAAAGAAATAGGAGTCCTCTCTATTCGCCAGTTGTATGTAAAATCAATATTAATAAACATCTATAAAAATTACAATAACATTTTTCAAAATATTTCACATTTATATAATACAAGATATTCTTCTAGAGTTGGAATCACCACAATTCAAGTGAATTATACTTTTTCTACGACTAATTCATACTATGTTTCACACTTAGTCTATCGTAACATATGTAACATTTTTAAGGATTTCAAATTTTTTGAATGTGACTCTTTAAAGGTATTTAAATTCCGCGTCAATGATTTCCTATTCAGTTTAAATATTGACGAGGCCGATTCTATTATCACGGCGGACTACCGGCGCACCTGATCCGACCTTTGCACTGACTGACCTTGGCACTTTGTTAGGACTGTCCGCAGTCGAATTACTACTCTCTACACCACTCATACTCAACAATCCACTCATCACTCTCCACTCTCCACTCTCCTCACTACCACCATTACACACGGAACTGACACAAAAACACACACACACACACACAGTCTGTCTGTCTCTCTCTCTCTCTCTCCCTCTCTCTCTCCTGGCCACCACGAAATCAATGCGCAGACTCACCAGTGCTGTGTTCATGAAAATACGTTTACATACATCACTAATAATAACAACCCTTTTATTTTTAATTGCCATTCCACAAATTCAATAATTTACTTTTTTCTATTTGACAGCAACTTAGCAGACGCACAGGTAGCACTGCCTATGTCTGCTAGTTCCATTTGTTTATTGTAGAATATTTTGGCTCATTAAAACTTGTATGTATTTTACTATTTTTAGTGTCATAAGTCTCTGTTAAGTATATTTGATTTTATAATCACTGTTTGTAGCCAATGCTTTTTGGAATAAACTATATATTCATTCATTCATTCATACTCCTTTTAATATTCCTTTTAGGCTAGGCCTATTCTATGTGGAATAACAGAACGATTTACAAAAATTACAACAAGGTATTTCATTGGAACAAAATTGACAGATAGGTAACGAAATTTAAAGGCTAGACAATGAAAAGACTGACAATAGAATGTGGGTTTAAGTTACAATAAAATGGAAGATAAGTTTTGAATAAAGGTTCAAATTTACAATAGTATAATTTAGATGGGCATCTCAGGGTAGGGTGTCATTCTGGCTTGAATGCAAAGAATTATTAAATTAAATGTTGTCCAAATAAATAATGTGTTTAACTTACAACAGCCCAATAATGAAAATAAAATTTTTAGGTTGTCCAAAAGGTAAGTCCAAGTACACTAAATTTAAGCGAGTTTAAAAGAAAAGTCTACACTTAATTTTGGAAAATAATGTTGGAGTTGAGTCCTCTTGAGGTTGACTGTAATATAAATTGAATATAAACTGGATTTTCTTGATGAAATAATTAATTTAATTTTGATGAAATCTAGACTCTTCTTTTAACAGTTTCAACTCTGGCT